TTTTTTCAAGGAGAAGGGGTCACCGTTTCTGTACTTTTTTAAATAGCATGTGTGAACTGAAAGTCTTAAGAATAACCATTTTTAAAGCATCATTTCTGCTTTAGTGTTCCTTTACCAAGACTTAATTTTTAGGGTTTTGGGATTCCCTAAAGTCACGTGATAACAATGACCTCTTAAAAGGTATCCAAATCTCAACACTTCCTATCAATTGAAAAGGCTAGGGATGCCAGGGCTAGACAATGTTAACACTAGACACCTAATAAAAATAATTAGTCTCCCTGTCCTGAATTATCTACCTTACTAATTCAGTGCACAGGAATGTTTTCTAAGGGTCACTATTTTAAAACCGTTCCTTTTCACCATCTATAAACATAAAAAACCTGTAGTTTCCCTTAAAGGTTTCTTTCCACCAATTTATTCTTTAGTGAATAACAGGGAAACGATACGAGGTACTAAGATTATATGCGGCATTAATGCAAAGCAAAAATGCTGCCTAAAGCATGTTTTATATAACTGCAAATAAAAATGCTAAAAAACACCTGCTGGATCTTGTATTTTAAAATCCCCCACTTAAGGCAGGAGTCCTCATTATAATGCTGAGCTTCCAAGGGGACTAAAAGGCTGGCCTTCTGTTGGGTTTCCTGGTCCTTCCTTTAAGGTGAAATGGCCCCCTTAGCAGGGGGCTCAGGCATGACATAACCTTGGAAGGGAGAAGATGGGCAGGAGGGAAAACTATCAGATGACTGGCTTCAAGTTCAAATTCTTTTATAGATGGCTTGAAACTGTGGTCAGCTTTCCACTGTAAGCAACACACAAGGTTTACTTTCTTTCCGAACTTGAAGGCAGCCAGAATACACATGTACTTTTACTTTCTTAGGAGAAAATGTGTCATTTGATTTCCTTCCAGTTTGTGTGCTCGCGCCAACAACTAAAATGCTTAAAGAACCAAAATGAATTACTACCCAGAAACGGTGGTCAAAGTTCCAAAATCTGATCAATAAAATTGCTCATCTACTCACAAAATTAATCTTCAGCCAGTGGAAGTTACACATTTTCAGGGTTATGAGTGCACCTGCACTGTTAAGCATTTATTTCACTTGTTTAAGCAATCTTCAGAAGTACATAAATATTTATAGAAGAGAGTCTACTATTTTTACTCACCTATAATTTTCTCTTTGCAGCAAAATCTTAATTCCTGTTAACAAACTCATAAGCCTCCTGAAGGCAAGATCTGTAGCCTCGGCAGTTTTGTATTTTGAACACCAGCACCACGCCCGGGGCATTGTGGGCTGTTTGCAAATGTTCACCAAGTTGCATTTAATTCATTCGTACCATTCTGATTCTGAATTGAGGATGGGGCCCAATTTTCATTTATATCATTCATAGGAGAAATGTGCAAAGTAAATTAATAGACTAAGTAAAACCACAATTGAGGTTACTAAGCAGAATATTTTTCAAGAGCTTCGGAAGCAATATCTACACCCAATTTAATGCCTTCATTAATAAATAAGCCACATAACCCAAGAATGTGGCCAGCTCGGATTTGGTTCAGCGTGAGTCTCTGCAAAGAGCACCACTGCTCTCTTATTTACTTTCCTCTCCCTGAAATTAGTCCAAATTGGTGATGTTTGACTACATTTTATGATCTCTATCGAGTAACCACTTATAGCCTCTTCTAACTTTCCATTTTCTTTTGTTTGTATCATCAGCCTGGGAAGCCGGAGAGCAATGCCAAACATAAAGCAGGGAACTGTGAGAGATATGCTTAAAATATGAGTCACAGTATATTTGGGGATTTGGGTTTCTTTCTTTCTTTCTTTTTTTTTTTTCCTCAAGCTATCAGCAGATCAAATCCTTCTTCCCTGTCAAGCCTTCCTCTATGCAGAAGATCTGAAAATTTGCTAAAATAGGTCTCTCAGTGTCGTTATGAAAGGTAAGAAGATCAGAGCTGCGCGCTGTTAAGATTTGCTGTAGGATTTCCCTTTCATTTCAGAGCCACTCCGCCTGAGAGGCCTTGGCGGAGGACATGGCATGGCAAGATATATTTAAATATGAAGGTTATGCCTTCCGCGGATCTCCAAGTTTAGATAACGTATTTTTTTATAATGAGGTAATACACCATGTGGCCTAGGATAGTAATTTCTCCTCTCTGTTTGTGGACGGCAGGCCGACCTAATAAAGCTTCTAGAACGTGCGTGACCCCACCTGGCAGCCACTGTCTAACCATGCACACGCACCATCGACCGACCCTTTTTCTTTTTCCCCTTTGCAGCTGACTCTTAAAAGCTGGTCTAAAATTCTCTGCTTGGCAACTCCTCCTCTTAGGGAATAGGGAAAAAAAAAAACAAAAAAAAAAAACCTCAAGACATCTTCTTTAGCAAAACCCAGCATTCGAGATTACCCCCACTTCCCCCACTTTTTATACAGACTGAAGTGCTCAGCAGAATGTGTTAGGTTGGTTTTGACACGGTCCCTTGCCAAGAAAGACGAGGCCCTCTGTGTGCTCCTCTTCTGCACGGTGGCTAAAAAACCCAACAGGCAAGAAGAAAAAGAGCTCTCAAAAGGAAATCCCCCGAAACTTTACTTCTTATATTTAGCCCGAAAGGAACTTCGTGCATCTTGGAAGAGAAGTTACCTAAAAATGCCATATGTTTTAAAAAAGCAAGGATGAGGGAAAATAAGTCTACTATAAAAAAAAAAAAATCACAAATGATATTCTAAATGCTGAAGAACAGACAGATTGTGTGTGTGTTTTATTATCTCTATCCAAAGCTCTACTATGTGTAAGATTTTTCCCCCCAATAATACGGTTTCATTTTTCCAATGCACTTGAGGTCTGCGACACTCCAGAGGAGTCACTGCGTTTTTGAGGCTGCGGCAAGAACTCCAAGAGGGAGGCAAAAAGAATGGACAAGTCATTTGAATCACTGAGTGACAGGCTGGGCTGGCTCCCCGTATACATTAATAAATTAGAATTTTAATTGTGTCTCTGTCTGCAGGCGCTGCCCTGGCACTTTAAAATGTCCCCACAATTGGCTGTGTTACGGAATCTGCAACGTGGCCTCCGTGGCTGACCTCCGCAACACAATTCCCAGCCCGGCTACGGAAACTGTTCAGTTTGATCCTTTCAACTTATTTGAATCCTGACAAATAAGCTCACAGCTGAAAGGTCAACACAGTCCCATTTCATCCTCCGGAGCTGTTCTTAAGACATCTGCACAACAAAGCACTCCTTAGAGCACCTGACACGGGCCCTCGATGGCACTGCGCCTCATTAAAAATGTCCCCTGCATGCACGCACGGCTAAAGGCACATGGGCAGGCGACAGGTGACCAAACAACTGCTTTCGTGAGTGTTAATAAACAATGCACGTCGCCACTCAACTTTTCCACTCAGGTGTCTCTACGGGGCTGAACTCCCCCCCCCTGCAGAGCGACAGTTTCCCAAGTTCATGCAGGAGAACTAAGAACTTCTCGGCCAAGGTCAGCCTGGTCTTTGCAGGATGCCTTGAGAATGGGCAGTGGTCCACCCTGACCAGGGAAGCGTCAACACAAGCTAGAACTCAGGTTGACCTCCTGACCAAACTAATTGGCACCCTGTTAGCCACGGATGGTGCTCTGACAGATTCTGCACCCCGATTTCCAGTGTGAGAAACTCCTCCTTAGCCTCCCACGTTGGGGACGCCCGCCCTAAAAGCAGTTCAGAACCCACCTAGGGCTTGCAAGTGCCATCTTTTGGCTGTGAGCATGAAGACCCTGATTCCAGTTTCTCCGAAATTTCTATTGCAATTTGCTACTCCAAGGTGAAAACCCAAATTAGGTTGTTTTTTTTTTTTTTTTGAGACAGAGTCTCGCTTTGTTGCCCAGGCTAGAGTGAGTGCCGTGGCATCAGCCTAGCTCACAGCAACCTCAATCTCCTGGGCTCAAGCAATCCTTCTGCCTCAGCCTCCCAAGTGGCTGGGACTACAGGCATGCGCCACCATGCCCGGCTAATTTTTTCTATATATATTATTTGGCCAATTAATTTCTTTCTATTTATAGTAGAGACAGGGTCTCGCTCTTGGCTCAGGCTGGTTTCGAACTCCTGACCTCGAGCAATCCGCCCGCCTCGGCCTCCCAGAGTACTAGGATTACAGGCGTGAGCCACCGCGCCCGGCCGCAAGTTAGGTTTTTATAAACTGGCTCCATCTTCTACTCCATTAACCCCTTGCCCTCAAGGGGCCTGAAAAGGGAAGTTGCTAAAACAACCATTTTTTGGTATCTTTATGTAAAAGTTTCTCGCCATTTCTTATGAATGATTCGGAAACGTCCTGAACACACCCACTGAGGAACTGAGTCTGTATTACACTGGTTACAAGGTGTAATATTAAAAGTACTGCATTGTCCTCAGGCTCAGTAGCAGTTCTGGACTCAGTTATGGATGCTTTGGGATGAATGATTCCATTTTGGCCCAGGGCATAGTAGGATGCTTGGCTCTATCCCTGGCCTGTCCCATCTAGAAGTCAGTAGAACCTCTTTCTCCCTAGTTCTGACAACCCCAAATGCCTCTAGAATTGCTCATTGTCCCCTGGGGTGGGGTAGAGGGACAGAATCCGCCCCCCCAACATTGAGAACCACTGCACTCCATTGTGTTCATTCCATTTCTAGCCCCACCGTGAAAGAAAGTGGCGACCATTCTGAGTGCTGTCAACTTTTTCTCGCTGGTAATCCACACTGCCAAAGAAGCAACCCAACACCTGCAACTCCTCACCCTGCTATTATACTGACTGATCAGTAGATCTTCCTACCCCTAACGATAAAACTTTTGGTCAAAATACCCATTTTTGCCCCAAAATGTCATACTCTGCTGGTAAAAACTGAAAATGCACCTTCTACAGATCATCATTGTCTTACTTAGGTGATTTGCAATTCTCAACACAACCCACCGCTGAGCTGCTCCATCGGCCATCCCAAAAGGCATCATGCCATTAGAAATAAATAAATAAAAAAAAGAACTGCTACCTGAAGAGCTGGTTGTTTGTCATTCCTCTTGGGAGACTTCAGTCCACTAACTTGCTGCTGCTGGAGCAGGAGCTGCCTTGCCACCTGAAGAGCCTGGAAAGAGAAACAGAAGGAAAGTATGTGCATCACTGCACGGGTTCAGGGCACCCTTCACTAACGGGATTCCAGAAAGTACGCTCCGGACCCCCACTTTCCTCTTTCCAGGCAAATGAAATAGCAAACAAGACTTCCCACCAGTCCCGGCCGAAAAAAACCCCTTCCAGAAGTTGTTTTACATTTCCTCTGATTTCCCTGATCTCATCCATGGCTCTCAGGTACAGCAATTTGTCTGAGCAGACACGTCAGCCCTTCCAAAACTCTGACGTGGAATTTGGGAGCATGGCTGGTTGGGGCTTTGAGGAGAGATGGCAGAGAGGCCAGGGAGGACCTGGGCGAAGATTGGCAAAACCTGGCAGACAACACACAGCCCTTTTTTTTGGGGGGATACCTTCCCCTCCCCCCCCCAGTTCTTCTTGGGGGGACTTGGGAACTCCCGTTGAACATAACACTTTCACTACTGGATTTGGTTATTTGGGAAGGAAGATCAAAACAGATGAGACATACATAGGATGTCTCGGATGGAATTCATAGAGAAAAACAGCAAATCTGGCCTCTGGTCGCCTTAAAGGGGACATTATCCTACCTGTGAGCAAAACTAGTTACGTTTATTACCAATGACCCTTTCCAGCTTATAATATGGGATAGTTTTTCCTTAAAGAAAGAAATTGGGGAGGTGATATGGATTAAAGCCAAAGCAAGAAGAAAACAGGAGAGTTCTCCATAATGTTGAACAGATGATCAATAAATCTTTCTAAAAGTTCAAGGAGGCCAGGCATGGTGGCTCACGCCTGTAATCCCAGCACTTTGGGAGACTGAGGCAGGAGGACCACTTGAACTCAAGACCAGCCTGGGCAACACAGCAAAACCCTGTCTCTACAAAAAAATAAAAATAATTAGCTAGGTGTGGTAGTGCATGCCTGTAGGCCCAGCTACTTGGGAGGCTGAGGCAGGAGGACCACTTGAGTTCAAGACCAGTCTGGGCAACACAGCAAAACCCTGTCTCTACAAAAAATAAAAATAATTAGCCAGGTGTGGTAGTGCATGCCTGTAGGCCCAGCTACTTGGGAGGCTGAGGCAGGATTGCCTGAACCCAGGAATTCAAGGTTACCATGAGCTGTAATCACCACTGCACTCCAGTCTGGCTAACAGAGCGAAATCCTATTTAAAAAAAAAAAAAAAAAGTTAAAGTGAAAAAGAAAAAAAAAAGTGTCATCAATGAACCCTCATGAGGACATTCGCCGTCAAAGAATTAAGGACAGGAATAATGGCTAGCCACACACACCTCTCCAAAGAGGGCACCAGGATCAGGAACTGAACATTGAAGTTTGTAGACACTGTGCTTAAAAAGATCACATGAAAAGTGAGGTTTCTTGAGTCAATTCAGCTGAGAACCAAGAATGTACACATGGAAGAGATGTCAAGAATGATCATTAAACGATGCACTTTGAGTTCAGAGACAAAATGAGATTTCTCGGGGGATTACATCAGTAATAATTTCTATACGGTAACCAAATTATTTGTGCATCAAAGAAGAGGGCACAGATAGATCACAGATGTGGTCAACTCATCAAAAGGACCCGACACTCTGATACTATGGGGGGCAGTGTTCATGTTCTCCCAATAGGGGGGCCGGAGGAGAAAGAAAGAAAAAAAAAGAACCTGATACTATAGTTTTAGAGAGTGAATATAATGGACTTATGATGGTAGCATGTTCCCCCAAGAGAAATAGACAATTTATTTAAGAAAATAACGTGTCCATTTGTGAGAAAAGTTATGGCGACAATGATGGGCTGGGGGAAAGGTAAGAGGGGCTGGGGGTTCCTGTGTATTGAAGGAGAACAGGGAAAATGAAATGGAGTGCTCAAGAGGATTACTGCTCAGGGGAGACATCTAAAAACGTGGGCTCCTCCTAAAAAGACAAGCTCCCTAAACCAGGCTCATAGCTATACAGTTTTAACAGCCAATATATATATATATATATTTGTTTGTTTGTTTGTCTGTCTGTTTTTGGAGACAGAGTCTCACTCTGTTGCCTGCGCTAGAGTGAGTGCCCTGGCGTCAGCCTAGCTCACAGCAACCTCAACCTCCTGTGCTTGAGCAATCCTCCTGCCTCGGCCTCCCAAGTAGCTGGGACTTCAGGCATGTGCCACCATGTCCAGCTAATTTTTTATATATATATACATATTTTTTAGTTGTCCAGCTAATTTCTTTCTATTTTTTTTTTAGTAGAGACGGGGTCTCGCTCTTGCTCAGGCTGGTCTCCAACTCCTGAGCTCAAACGATCCTCCTGCCTGGGCCTCCCCAGATTACAGGCGTGTAATCTGGGCCTCTGCCAGGATTACAGGCGTGAGCCACCATGCCCAGGTGACAGCCGATATTTTTAAGACACCTTGCAAGGTCGAGCGCAGGTGCCTTTGTGTCTAGGCGGCGCAAAGTTAGGCACGGAGAAACAAATGGCAGAGAGAAGACCTCGGGCAGGTGGGACCCTTCTGTCCCTTCCCTGCGACACCCAGCCCTCTTGTCCCAGGGAGGCCTTCTGCCTACTGAACTCACCACGACCAGCCCCTTCAGAGGGAAGGCAGAGGCTATTTCATCTGCGGAGGGAGAGACACCTTCGAGAAAGCCTGCCTGGAAGAGCCTGGAGAAGGGAGGCTGGCTGAGAGGGGCATCTGGGAGAGTCGCCTGCAATGCCACACTGCTGTCTCCGGGGAGGATCCGCCATCGCTGGACTCTGGGTTGCCTTGTCTCCTTGGAGACGCTCGGTACACGCGTAGGTGTGCAAGTGGGCAGAGTGAAGATTGCATTTATATCATATAAGAAAAATAGTCCCCTCTGCAAGGTGCCTGCAGGAGCAAGAGCCCGTCCCCTGCTGCAGACGGACGCTCCCTGAGCTATTGCACTTGGAGGGTTTACGGTTTCTTTAATGCAGGAAAGGAAACTGTTACGCGTTTAAGTGCCACCGTCACAGTTCCCAGAGTAATAGACTGATCCGCAAAGGGACATCTGGCTGCTGCTTGCAAAGGCAGACAGAGGGACCACACATGACAGCTGAGAAGAGTGTGTGGAAAAGCAAGATGATGGGGAAGGGGACAAAAGTGACACACATCGCACGCTAGAACAGAACAGGCAAGGAGAAACAAAGGCACGAAGATGCCACATACGTGACCACGCCACTTCGCCCGATACCGGGAGACACAGTTACTTGGAGTTTTTAAAGAATCAAGTCCCAGAGAAGCTGAAGTCGACTCACTCCAGCGAACAGGAAGAGATGAAGTGTCTTTTAAGAAAAACATTCACACACACACGTGTCACCATTCTCACCTGAGCATGCTCTCCCAAGCAAAAGACAGTAGAAAACTCCAACCGGAGTTTTCAACAAGTGTTTCCTGGCCTGGCTCTAGATAATGATGGTGAATGTAAACTTCAGCTACTGGAAAATCCTTGGCTTATTTTGCTGGTTTGAAGGGGGGAGGGAGTCATTTATATGTATAACATCCATTTTAGGCTCTACATGGGGTGCATGAACTTAACATAATCACACAATAAACCTCAGCTACTTCGTGTCATTTCATACAGAGCCCCATTAAAGACAATAATCAAAGACAGGAGCACAGGGGAAAAGGTTTAGAAACTTCTAAGAATCCAAGGGAAATTTTGGTCAACTTACTCAACAGGGAACACTGTAAGGTAAAGTATGTCCAAACTGGCTCCCAAATTTCAGTCCCCAGATGAATATACACAGGTAAAATCACTTCCTATTTTTTGGGATGGAGAGACAACAGTAGGACAAAGAATACTGTCATTTTGACATGAATTGTTATGAATTAACCCACGAAAATTCACAGGCCTTGTCATGAGGATGTTAACAAAATTAGAGCACAGTATTACCTATCCCAAAATAAAACTAAAATCAATTTAAAAATTACCGTAGGTCTCAGCAAGAGTTTTAAAAGTGAATCGCGGCCGGGCGCGGTGGCTCACGCCTGTAATCCTAGCACTCTGGGAGGCCGAGGCGGGCGGATTGCTCGAGGTCAGGAGTTCGAAACCAGCCTGAGCAAGAGCGAGACCCCGTCTCTACTATAAATAGAAAGAAATTAATCGGCCAACTAATACATATATAGACAAAAAAATTAGCCAGGCATGGTGGCGCATGCCTGTAGTCCCAGCTACTCGGGAGGCTGAGGCAGGAGGATTGCTTGAGCCCAGGAGATTGAGGTTGCTGTGAGCTAGGCTGACGCCACGGCACTCACTCTAGCCTGGCCAACAAAGCGAGACTCTGTCTCAAAAAAAAAAAAAAAAGTGAATTGCGTATAACTTATAACATGCTTTGAAATCACTTGCTAAAGACATTTTTTTCCCTGACTTTCCATGATATATACATCACTATCATCTAGATTTTAAATAGTCACAGGTACAAAGGGGACAATGAATCCTTAGTGACTAAGATCACGTATTTGGGCATTACAATACCAATTTCTGGAATCTCCCATTTGCAGAAAGCCAGAAGTGCTTATTGTCATGTTCACTGTTGGCCACTGGGAAATCCGGAATGAAGGACGAGATCCCCTTTGGAAACTGCACCAGAGCCCCACGTTCACTGTGGTCCCCATACACGATGACTTGGACAGCCACTTCAACCGGTTATGTGCATCAAAACCAGATTAATGTCCTTCATCTCAGACGTCACTGCCTAAACCCCTGAGATTGTCTTTATTTCCTTACAACTGAGGAGTGAGGATGGACTTTTCTTATTTTCCTAACAGTATCTCAATCACAGTTGGAGAAAAGTTCCTTAGGATACACTGCCTGAAGACAAAATGAGATCTTCTGGATTTTATAACAAGGTGTGTAGATATGTATTTGTGCGTGCATGAGACAGAGAGAGGGAGGGGGGGAGGAGGAGGAAAGAACAGCAGGGAAGCAGCAGAAAGAGAGAGACAGAGAGAGAAAGGGTATAAACCAATGAAAGAATTTCACTTTTAAGAAGCAAGGAT